GGTTTTTTTTAATAGATAGAGTGATTCTTAATAAAGGTTTATATATATAATACATGTATATTGCACCCGGGCGAAGCCGGGGCGGCTCGCTAGTATATAATATATAAATATATAGTACGAGAGATGACGACCAAAATTTTTGTCTCATAGCAATACGGCCAAAACCGCCTCACATCGATAGATACGATTATCCTGAACTCGAAAATACCAATATCAGACATTTTCCGCGTAGCGTTTGATCTGACCATAAAAACACCAGACAAAAAAAATGTCTCATAGCAATACGTCTGAAAACCTTTTTTATTAGTACATTTTGGTTATTTGATGCGAACAAAACAATTTTCAGACGGAAATGTGAACGCATTAAATATTGAGACCGTTTTGAAAATGTTAACAAATTTTACCGATCGGTAACATGGCAATGTCTGAAAATTGTTGGACATGATAAAATAAGTTGTCCACGTGTGCAAAAAATTTATATCAGACAAAATAACTGTAGCACCTTCTCTATCAGACAACTTATCGATACTCAGATATTTTTGACACAGCAGAAATGGCCTCCCACGCAGTTGCTACACTTTCGACCGTTACTACACACCTTACAATCTAATGATTTTATAGGGTTTTTGCCGTATTGCTATGAGACATGGTTTTGGTCGTCATCTCTCGTACTAATAGTTTTTGTTCATTTCAGAGAATTTTTATGAGTCTCCTGAAGAGGTACTTTCCTTAGAACACATTTTGCTGTACTATGTTCTGCCGGCCTCCATATGTCTAGTGTTGGTCAGCGTGGTTATATGTCTGTGGTTGCGTATAAAGAAACACAGGCGATGGTGCTCTGAAGCTCTGATTAACACTAATGTAAGTAATTCTGCTAATTTTTTTTTAGACCGAATTCAAAAAGAAAATAAAGGTTGTCAGTTGGACCTGTATTTATGTATGTATTAACTAAAAATCCTGGGTTACTCACGTGAATATACTGAGAAAAGCTCTACTAGTTTCGAACCACAGAGGGGTTCTTTCTCATGAGCAGCGTGCTCGGTCGCGCGGCCTACTCACACATTGTATGCGACAGCATTTCTCAGTATATTCACGTGAGTTACCCACGATTTTTAGTTAATTCAGTGTCTCATATAAATCGGAAAGTGAGTTTGTTTGTTCCGCTTTCACGCCGTATAAACCGAATGCTTTGAATTTTTGCAAATGTATAGTTAGAAGTCCGGATTAAATAATAGGGTACTTTTTATCCCGGAAAAATTTGATATTCTCGAGGGAAAACAAAAGTATTGGTATAGATGGCGCTGTGTGTATTGGTATATGTTACATTGGCTTTTATCCTTTTGTAACGCGAGTGAAGCCGCGGGTAAAAGCTAGTAGTTATTATAAAACAATGTATGTGTGTGCGCCATTATTTCGCTATTGGCTGAACCGATTTTGATGCGGTTTTCAGCAGTGTTTATTACACTTAGGAGAAAGTTTTAGTGTATCAATTAATCGACTTTCAAATAAAAAGAGTGGATTGAAGTCGGTTTTTTAAACGTAGTTTACGATAAAAATATTTATTTTGGGTTAGGAAGACAGATTACCTGATGGTAAGCAATCGGTGCCGTCTATGGACATCCACAAAACAAGAGGAGTTACAAATGCGTTGCCTTTTGGCGGCTAAGCTGAAGATTTAGGTTTGTCGAGCAAGGAGTTTGATTGCCTGCTCGGGGATATAATAGAGAAGAGTGGACGACTAATTCTTAGTTTAATATCCGTCTGGTAGACTATTTACTTACAGAAAAAACACTTTGTTAGTTATTATGTTTTTCGGCTTACTCACGTAACTGTTTGACGAGAAACTCGACTAGTTGCAAGCCATGCTAGAGGCTCATATTCATGAGCAGCATTCCGCGACACAAGACGCGGCGACTGTCATACTGCTACCGAGTTCCTCGTACTCTCCCAAACAGTTAAGTACGTGAGAAAGTCGAATCCTTACTATATATTATTAATATATTATATATTAATATATATTATAAATCGGAAAGTGAGTTTGTTTGTTTGTTTGTTCCACTTTCACGCCGTAACTACTAAACCGATTGCTTTGAATTTTTGCAGACGTAAAGTTAGAAGTCCAGATTAAATAATAGGGTACTTTTTATCCCGGAAAAAATGATATTGGAATAAAAATTGTTAAAACAAAAGTATTGGTATAGATGGCGCTGTGTGTAGGTATTGGTATATGTTACATTGGCTTTTTATCCTTTTGTAACGCGAGCGAAGCCGCGGGTAAAAGCTAGTAACATAATAATTAATTTAGTATGTCTCACGAAAGTTACAATTTAACTCGTCGAATACCGGTTTTATAGACACAATTAAAGAACAATGGGTCGCGGTCACCGGTGACCGCTTGGTATTTGACAGTTTAAAACAATTTGCCCGATTCAACCCTCTTCCTTGGCAGCTGCATTGTCATTATCAACCACACGAATCAACCGACAAGGCACACGAATATTTATAACTGTTTTCTACGTTTTCAGAATACAGGAAACGAAGTATTGTATGCTGACCTAGAATTAAAAGGAATGAATAATATCCAGCGAAGATGTAACGAGGAATCTCCATACGCTCAAATACAAATATCACAATAGGGTAGCTGCCTGCGAAGCGCTGCCTCCTCGCAACCCAGCCGTCGCGAAGGGTGTGCCTACAGCACATCAGTATTATATTCAGTATTGTAAAGAGAGCATTAATAAACGGACGTGTGAGCAGATAGTTAATGTTTTATTGCGATACTCGCCGCCAACATATAGCCTGCCATATAAAGGCATAAGGACACACCGCGCGACTATTACAGCGTTGCACGACACACGGATAAGCTACGCACGTGAAATGCGTCCGTTCCACAAGGTTTGATTGAAAACCGCGCTGTGATAAATGAGCTGTACATAGTCGAAGCACATATTCGTGTACTCCAGTGGAGACGTAGACCCACGCCACCCGCGGTGAGCTATGTAACCGCCTATTCGAGCAAGCCACGCATGTGTCAATGACGTCAATGGGGATGATGACAGGGTATGAAAATTAAAAATCTAATTAGTCCGTAAGTTAGGTAATTAAAAAATATAGGACACGTATTTTTTTATTTTGTCGTATAATAAAACAATGCTTAGATAAAACGAATCAAAGTTTAGGAGTGGGGGCTAAAACGTCATTTCTCAGTATAAAATGTACTGAGAAGTTACGTCACGCGACATTTCAAATCAATATATCTTCGAAACTATTCGTTTCCGTAAGAAAATAAAAAATACGTGTCTAATGTTTTTAAATAATCTACCAGACGGACATTAAAATAAAAATTAGTCGTCTACCCTATTCATACGTAGTCTCTCCGTGGGTTGCAGTGGACACAAGCACTTACATTTCCTTCCAAAGCGAAGCATACACGTGCGTAGCCTCTCCGTGCCCCGCGGTGGGCCCTCGCCTTTACTGTTGTATCATCGTGAAACTTGGCAATTGTATGTAGATTAGATGACAATACAATATTATGGTGCCATCGAGCTGGTTTGATGATGGAATTGGGAGGAGGCTGAGGGAACCTTGGACTGTCTACAAGTAAACTTATCGAGTTTGGTCTCATTAGATATATTAATTTGTCCTGATGATGAGGACAAATATTTATAGATTTTCTTCTACTTTTTTAAGCTGAAAACATAATAATAAATAAGAATTGTACTATCCTAGGTTAAGATGTATAGAGGTATTATCGAGTTCACTGTAGTTATGAATGAAATAAAACAAATTCAAACCATATAGTTGTACAATTATTTAATTCATTAACAAACTATTTGTTAAGTTAAAATTATCTAGATGTTAACAGTGTTTAACATGAAACCTCGAGTTCGACAAGTCACTCAAGTATTATATTATCCAAAAATTTCAACAACATTGATTATTATTGGGGATTCAGTTATGGGGAGATCGGGGAAGGGGGGTGAACCTATTGCCGTAAACCGGGCACAATTCCAGACTCCGTGCTACTACTGAGAATTTTGTAAAAACCCAGTAATACTTTGCCCGACCCGGGAATCGAACCCGAGACCCCTTGCCCGGCAGTCGCACTTGCGACCATTGGGCCAACGAGGCAATCAACAGTCAGCCGAAACATTTTTTTTGAAAATGTGCCTAACTGAGCTAACATCAAAATTCCTTGCCAGAGTCTGTGTTTCCTGAAGGGTTGTCCTGGGTGTCTTCAAGGCCCAAATGAATAGGTTGCTTATGTAGGCATGCTCTATCGTAAGCCGCATCATTGCTTACCACCAGGCGAGATAAAGAACAAACATAGACTCAGCTACATAAATCTTTATATATATAATTCTTCTGTGAGTGTGTATGTCACTGAACTTCTCTCAAACGACTGGACCGATTTTGATGAAATTTTTTGTGTGTGTTCAAGGGATCTGGGAATGGTTTAGATTTACAAATCAGCCCAGCAGATGGCGCTGCAGTCGATGTTTAGGTTATTTATCCTAAACAGCTGAACTAATTTGACTGAATTTTTGTTTATACCTCTACATTCAAGTGGATATGCAGGACACCGTCTGTTGGGTCCGCTAGTATAAGTATGAATTTCTGTTTAGTCTCGCTAAAACTCGAGAACGGCTGAAACGATTTGGCTCATTTTGGTCTTGAACTTGAAGCGGACGGATCACCTGATGGTAAGCAATCGGCGTTGCCCATGTACAATCGCAACAATAGACGAGTTACAAGTGCGTTGCCGGCTTTTTAGTGATTGTAAATATCCAATAGGGAATGATATCCAATAGGGGGATTTGTGTATAGGGGGTGAGGGGGATTGGGTTTCCGGTTACACAACTGTAACATCAGATGAGTTACAAATGCGTTGCCGGCCTTTTAGTTTGGATATTGGGGGTATGGGGATGGGGGGATGGGGGGAAGGGGGATTGTGTGTCGAGAGGCTGCATACAACGCAAGTGTTGTTTTACTTCTGTTTCCTAAGTCCCTTTCTCCACAATTTCAGGAAGATCTCTGTCACTAGTCTGGTCGTAATAATCTTCAGGTATCACGTAATTTTCAGGGGGACGCATTGGACCATACATTTTTGTTTTTATACTCTTGTCTTCTCTAACTCCCTCTTCTACGTTAGAATCTCCTTTCTCTTGTTCATTTCTATTTACTTCTCTGTCATTCTTGCTTTCTCCTTCTGTATTTAATTTCTTGTCTTCTGTTTGGTGATTATTTGAAGAACGTTCATTATCATCATCATCATCGTCGTCCATTTCTTCAACAAATTCGGATTCTTCTTGTTTGACATCTCTTCTGACTTTGACTTTCTTCTCTGTGTCATCTTTCAGTATTAATCTGAGAAGGAAAGAGGAATATTTATGTTAATACTTAATTTACACTCTATTTTTAAGGATCAACTTATAAGTGGCCACTGCTGACCTGCCTCTTCTCACACTTGCTCAGGGCGAGTTGACGATTTCAAACTTTATAATTTCGTAGGTATCCCGGTCCAGGTTTCGTAAGTATCCCGTAGGTTAAGACGACTGCTCCTTATGCATGAAGCTACTGTGTATCAGTTCGAAACAGGCAAGTACCAATGTGGCATTTTCCGAGTTATATGTACTTTCTAAGATTATTTACACACCACTGACAAACGGTAAAGGAAAACTCGTGAGGAAACCTAGACTTATCTGAACCGCTTTTTACTACATGCGTATGAATAAAAATACGATACACATACCAACATAACATTTTGTACGGCTTTTTCTGTCTGACTGTTTGTACTGGCTAATCTCTGAAACGGCTGCACCGATTTCAACAGAACTTTTATTGGCAGATAGCTGATTTAAGGAGTAACATAGACTACTTTTATTTAAAATATAGAATGGAAACAAAAATATGTTCCTACTAATAGAATAACAATGGCGTGAAATAAAGTTCTTTGTTTCTTTCTTACGTTCTAAAATTCGTATCCTACGCGAACGAAGTCACGGGCAACAGTTTGTAATTTCTAATAAATTTGTTCTAATTATAAGTTTAAAATCGCCAACCCGTATTGAGCAAGCGTGGTGATTAATGCTTAAACCCTCTCCGTACGATCTCCGGCCACCGTAAGCGCGGGCCTGCGGACGGCGAGCATGGGTGGCTCCCCGTCCGACCAGAAACAGACCCGAGCGTACGGCGCCGAGCGTTCCGCGCGCGCCTCAAAGAGCCATCAGACCACCACGGATGGGGCCCAATAAGGCTGATCGATTCGGAGTCGCGGAGAACCTAACGGGTAACTGGGGCTCCGGCTCGACGTGCAGGAGTAGGAACAGGGTGGTTTTTAGTCAGTAAGAGTCTGACACTCCCTCCAGCCTCACCCAGGCGGGAGAAGTCATTCGATGATTTCCATCCCTTACAAAAACCCTCTCCGTGTGAGAAGAGGCATTTGGTCAGCAGTGGATACTTATAGGCTGTTGATGATGATGACAAAATCTCACCTTTTTCCATATACAGCGGAGTTGCTGGCTTGTTTAATATGTATCTTGGTGTCTTTCTTGACGAGTGGAGGTAGGTGCGCCGGCCGAGCTAGCTCAGCCAGACGCTGTGTCTTTGACAGATCCGCCTTCAACTTCTGAATGGTCATCTGTTGAAGAATATAGTGGTAATATGGTCAAATTAAAGACTGCCTCGTTGACCGAGTGGTCGCAATTGCGACTGCCAAGCAAGGGGTCTCGGATTCTATTTCCAGGTCGGGCAAAGTATAAATGGGCTTTTTAAAAAAAATCTCAGTAGTAGCACGGAGTCTGGAATTGTGTCCGGTATATGGCAATAGGCTCCCCCTATTACATGGAACTCATAACATAAATAGTGAAAAGTGGGTGTTACATTAAGTGCCGTAATGTGCACCTCTGCCTACCCCTTCGGGGACAAAAGGCGTGATTTTATATTATGACTATTTGTAAACTACCACATTAAACCTTACCTTAGTCCTAGATATCTCAGCTTTAGTAGCCATACTCTGTCCCTGCTTGCTCAAACTGTTCATGTATTGATCTAACTCGTCCACATCCTCGCTGCTCTGCTGACCCCCTGCGGAACTACTCCGCAATGTTGACAGGTTCTTCTCTTCTATTGCTATCTTCTTTTCAATTTCTGATATTTCTTTTAACTGTGAATTGAGAAGAGTAATTATATTATTGCAAATAGCTTCACTAGAGGACTGACCTACAGACTGACATTTTTTCTTATCATTTAATATTTAAATATTTTGTTTTGACGTTCAAAAGTGCCTTCCTGGTCTAATTGAAATAAATGATTTTGATAAATTATTATGTTTTCGGCTTACTCACGTAGTAATTCGACGAGGAACTCGACTAGTTTCGTATTAGTACGTGAGTAAGCCGAAAACTTAATAATTTATTTAGTATGTCTCACGAAAGTTACAATACAAATGATTTTGACTTTGACTTTGCACGCTTTGACTTGGTGCACAATGGTCTCGCACTGCACACAGAGGCTCTAGGTAGACACATAGTTCTCTAAAGGGCGTAACAGGCGTGGCACCGTGGGGGCTCCGGGGCTGGTCTACTAAGATGACTCCGTGCCTTCTTCAGGTGCAGATGGTGGGCACCGGGGACATGGGCGTAGCTAGCCATGGGCTATACGGAGCCGCGGGGGTCTTAACGGGTTGCCGGGGCTCTGGCTCGAAATGCAGGAGTAGGAACGGGGTGGTTTTGAATGATATTCCCCCCTTAAAAAAAAAACATAATCGTACTAGCGACGTCAGCGCTATTTTACCGTCTTTACTCGGTCGGAAAATCATCGAATGACTGCTCCCGCCTGGGTGAGGCGGGAGGGAGTGTAAGACTCTTACTGACTAAAAACCACCCCGTTCCTACTCCTGCACTTCGAGCCGGAGCCCCGGCAACCCGTTAAGTCCTCCGCGGCTCCGTATCAGCATCAGCCCTATTGGGCCCTGCATTAGCCCAGAATCTGTGGTGGTCTGATGGCTCCTTGAGGCGCGCGCGGAACGCTCGGCGCCGTACGCTCGGGTCTGTTTCTGGTCGGACGGGGAGCCACCCATGCTCTATGTCCTCCGGCCCGCGCTGACGGTGGCCGGAGATCGTCCCGCGATCCCCGACGCCCGGTGTGTCCTTCGCGATGGCTGGGTTGTGACGCGTCCCGCCTCCTCCTTAGCTAGCATGACTGCTTCGCAAAAGGAGGAAACGGCATCTCAGTCCCCCTCGCTCCGCATTATGACCCCCCCTAGGCCCGGACGCGAAGTATGATTATGTATAGGCTATCTAATATTAGTCTAGGCTCACCAAATCATCATAAGTCCTAGGTTTCTCGTCCTCCACGGGTGCGGCTCCATGTTTCTGCATGCGAAGCTTCCGTTTCCTCTCGACGCTGCCGGTGCGGTCCAGGAAGGTGTCGTCATCCGAGTCGTAGTAGTCATCCGCCGACCAATCGCGCTCCTTGCGTTTGCGAGATTCTAAAACATAAGGAGTATTAGTTATTTATTCTTGTAGGTGCATGTTTAAAGAGAAAAATTGGTATTCATTTTATACCAGCTTTTACCCGCGGCTTCGCTCGCGTTACAAAAGAATAAAAAGTAGCCTATGTGACATATACCAATACACACAGCGCCATCTATACCAATACTTTTGTTTTTCCTCAGGAATATCAATTTTTCCGGGTTAAAAAGTACCCTATTATTTAATCCAGACTTCTAACTTTACGTCTGCAAAAATTCAAAGCAATCGGTTGAGTAGTTACGGCGTGAAGGTGGAACAAACAAACAAACTCACTTTCAGATTTATAATATTAGTAAGGACTAGCTGTTGCCTGCGACTTCGTTCGCGTAGAATATTAATTTTAGGACGTAGGAGTAACTATTTTTCAACTTTCCAAAATAAAAGTACTTATGTTATTCATTATTACATCAGCTACCTAATCACACGTGGAGAGGTGGTGTTAGTCATCATCATCCACAGCCTATAAGTGCCCACTGCTGAGCAAAGCCTCTTCTCACACGGAGAAGGTTTGAGCATTAATCACCACGCTTGCTCAATGCGGGTTGGCGATTTCAAACTAATAATTAGAAATTATAAGCCCAGGTTTCCTCACGATGTTATCCTTTGTTTGTCAGTGGTGTCTAAATAATCTTAAAAAGTACATATAACTCGGAAAAAGTCACATTGGTACTTGCCGTTGGTGGGTTCCGAACCCTCTCATACATGAAAAGCGGGCGTCTTAACCCTTTGAGTACCTTCATTATAGACACAATTAAAGAACAATAGGTTGCGGTCACCGGTGTCCTCGCGGTGTTTGACAGTTTAAACCTCCGGGCCACCACGATAGCTTTGGAGATAGTGATCAACAGCCTTTAAACGCCCAATGTTGAGCAAAGCCTCTTCTCATACGGAGAAGGTTTGAACAGTTGGAGACAGTACTCACCATGTTTAGACTGCCTCAGCAGCCCGGCTCTGTCCAGTATCCTACACGCCTCCAACGCGCAAGCTATCACAGCCTCCTTCTTCTTGCCTTTGTGGATCACTTCAGCTATCACTGGATTACCACGAGCATCATCTATTGGGAGTTCCACCCTGAAAATTTAAGAAATATATTAGCAAATTATTATTTTTTTATGGAATAAGCCGTTAAACGAGCTGACGGATCACCTGATGTAAGCAATCGGTGTCGCCTATGGACACCTGGAACACCAGAGGCGTTACAAGTGCGTTACCGGCCTTTTGGGGATTAGGAGTTTAAGGATTGTTGGGGATTCGAGGATTGGGGAGATTGGGGAAGGGGGGAGGGTTATTGGGCCTTCGGTAACCTCACTCACACGACGAAACACAACGCAAGCGTTATTTCACGTCGGTTTTCTGCTCGGCCGTGGTATCACTCCGGTCGAGCCGGCCCATTCGTGCCGAAGCATGGCTCTCCCACACTTAAAAACTATTAAGACTAACCTGAAAGAACATAACATAACATCACGCCTTTAACCTCGAAGTGGTAGGCAGAGGTGCATATTATGCCCAGTGGCGTGCACACCATACATAGTCCTAAACCTACATAGTCAAATACATAGTGTCACTCATAAACACGACATGAATATTTACTGACATCATACAGAGATTTCGTAATTTTATTGATACTTAATTTGGAAAACTGGTAATTAACGCCATCTATTGAAAAAATATTGAAGTACTACAACCACTTTCTACTTTCTTCGATATTGGAGTATTGCGCCAGTGGCGCCGCCACCTCGCTATTGTGTGATGGTGGCGGAAGCATGTACTAATGCTAGCCGGTACATTATGCTTGTTTTCTCGTGCTGATGTTGGATTTTTTTTTTGTTAGGTTGGTAATTTCTATACAACTGCAAAAGCACTGCTTCTTCGTTATCCGACTAATTTAGGAAGTCAACAAATCGTAGCGTTTGTTGATTGAAAATAGATATATTAATTTTGGTCAACTTATTGTTTACGTTTTTTTTGGCCATTTTGTTTTGGTTATGTTTTTATGTGCAAGTGAATAACTTTTAATGTAATGAATTATAATTTAAATGAACTGTTAATTTACCGAAAATTATGTAAAATTATAGCTGTGAGCTGTGTGCTGGTGATTTGTGTTGTTCAATAAATTCAATATGAGTGCGTTGTCCTTATTGTCGTTCGAAGAAGAAACGAAAATATTTCCAAAGGCGATTTTGCGTGTGTCGTATGTCCGGGCTAGGCGTAACTCAAAAAAGGTAATAATTTTAATATTTCTTTTAATAAACTACGATTTGCGATTATAGGTATAGTTTGTTAGCACTTGTGGTGTACCAATTTCATTATTGTTTTTAAAATCCAGTCATCTTGATCTCGCTTTGTACGATTTTTCTATGCATTTAACGGTCAGTTTATACTGGTATCGCCATAGCTTGATCGTCGCGTAACCATTTGTACTTCGCCGCTCCAAAGTAGGTAGGCACCTAGTTAATAGATTTATAAAATAGATACCTAGGTATCTATGTTGATCAACTTTATACACGGATTGTTTGAAAATAATTATGTACCTAATTTGTTAATACAAATTAATAAAATACTTACTAAACCTAATTACCTACTCAAAATTATGATGTTTCGGGAGTTTTATTTTCCGAGATTAATGTAGACCAAATTTTTTTAATCATGTGATACCTTCTGCCTACCCTACTTCAAATCTCTGTGCACGCCTCTGATTATGCCACTGTACAATGTACAATGTAACACCCACTTTTCACTATTTATGTTATGAGTCCCATGTAATAGGGGGTGAGTCTATTGCCATATACCGGGCACCATTCCAGACTCCGTGCTACTACTGAGTATTTTTAAAAACCCAGTAATATTTTGCTCGACAGTCGCACGAACCCGAGACCCCTTGCACGGCAGTCGCACTTGCGACCACACGGACAATGAGGTAGTATTGTAATTTGAAATAAATATAAAACGGAAAAAAAATACAAACCTATAGATCCCCAAGCAGTCACCGGTGACCACTCTCCACTAATATTACATTACATTATATACCTTATTTCCCAGTGGCGTGAGTAGGGTATAATTGGGGGTTCTGCATCACTTGCTCTCGCTGCGCTCGAGCTGCGTGATGCAAAACGCCCCAATTATACCCTAATGATATTCTAATCTGATCGGTTTTCTGGAAATTTGAATGTGAGCTTAATCATTTATTCGTTGCGCTTCCGTATTATGGTTTTCAGGTTGAGTGACTTCTTCCCAGTCTGTGTGATGAAAAAAAAAAAACCCCTCCAATTATACCGCTTATACAGATTGTAATGTATGGAAGTCATTTTCTTAAAAACGGTTCAAATAGAAGAAATCTCATCTTCCAAATCAAATTGACTCAATTTAAGCGCAATGTGTCATCGTATACACAATTATATTCTAATAGGGTAGATATATCGTATACACAATTATATTCTAATAGGGTAGATATAATTCGACTCGGCGCACAATGCAATAGTGCATATTCTAATAGAGTAATTGTTTCAGACAGTTATTGATATAATTTATTCCTTTCACAGCATTCAAATAAAAACATTGAGGATAATGTATAGCATGTTGCATCCAAGGATCGTCGTAAATCTCCCAATCTTCTATAACACCTCCACATGAGAAACATGCTGCTTTATCATTTACACCGTTTCCAAAATAAAAAAATCCGGCTTCAGCCATTTCCATCACCAACCTTCTCCTTGAATTAGCCGTTGCCCAATAATGTCTAAACGAAATTTCACGCATTTTATACGTATTATAGATGTCATAACGAGGGCTACATTTATTTTGAGACATGGTCTGTTCACTCACTATATAGTTCTTCATACAGATACAGATAAAAATGAAATGATATCGTACTGCTGTAGCCAGCAACTTATGAAGATTATCATTTGATTGGTGGGGGATAGAAGATTTGAAAATTAAACAAGAAAATAATTATTTAAAAAATTTATTATTAATACACCATTTATTTAAGCACAATACATTTTTTAAAGCACATACAGAGTCATGATAAATACAGTTACATAAATCTTGAGAATATTTATATTGATCGTATAAACTTATCAAACTAGGACAGCCTTCATCTTCTAAATTGAATATACTAAAATTACTATTTTCTAAAATATGCTTTAACCATAACACTTTTTCTGAACCTTTGACATAAATATATTTATCTCTTAACAAATCTATAACCAAATTCTGATAATTAGAATAGGGTACAAAACCTTCATGCCAGTGTATCTTTCTGTTACTTTCAATCCAACTAACTTGTTTTTTTTCTTGTTTGGTTAAGTTTTTAAATGGAAAGGGTGGCTTAATTAAAAATACTTGTAATTTTTTATTATACATTATAGCGATTTCTTTTATTATAAATTCATTTGTTTCGGTTTTAAAGCCTTGAATATCAACAATAGCATTCATGATAATCTGCGCACTATGTTGCTGAGAGGTTTGTATTCCACAAGTCGATCATTTATAATCAAACAATATGCAGTTGTCTTATCTGGTATTTGTGTTGAACATTCAAATTCCAATCGTACATCCACTGGACCAGTTTTTAAACTATCGTTTTGCCTCGAGCAGTCTAAAATAAAGACTGGGGCTTTTTCTTTGAAGTCTTGTAGATCAAGTAATGGGTCTACCGGAGAATTGTAATACGACTGACGAAATTTCACATACATTTCATATAATATACTATATTTGTTCTCACAAAACTTTAAAGATAAAGGCTCATAAGGATAATATTGCGAATTTAAAAAGAGCGTCACGTTTGTCACCTCACAATGATCAAACACTGAACTGTCTTTAGTTCTATTATTTTTTCTATTAGTCTGCAAGCAAAAAATTACATACCGAGGCTTTTCTAATTGAGAAGCAGTCTTTACTGACCAAGAATGCTTTGTAGTTTTAGGTAGTAAAGGATACTCATATAAATCCCAATTTCTAAAAGCTATCTGAATAGGTTTATCTCTTTCTAAATACTTTAAAAGTATTAAACGTTCTCGATCTGAAACTTTTATGTGTGGCACTCTCCATTGCACCCTTTGTATATCTATTTGAAACTGAACGACTTCATCAGTAAGAATAACGCTATTTAAGTTAGAATTACTCCTATTCAATATAAGTTCGTGTTTACAATTTATCACAATTTTATTGTAATCCTCGGCAAACCCTAAAATCTTATTTAATGGTACCACAGCACTAAATTGCCCATCACTTTGGAACCCGTTTAAATTCCAACCCCATAATGCAGCAACTTTACTTTCTGCTTCATTTAATGAGATGTAAGACTTTATTGTTGATGTTATTCCGGAATTTTTTATACGATCTATTTCAATTCCATTCATTTCGTATCTGATGTCTTGAAACAAATGCATAATAGGGTTATTAGTGAACGTAACAGTTTTTTTGATTGGGTGCCCATCCTTACCCAACAGCTTTGCCTGACCTTCGATGTAGATTGAACTGGCTGATGGTAGCACGTATATATCTTGCTGATGTATGGGGATTCTGATTTCATCGTTTTCTCTAAAGCTGTTATTGTAGGGATTGTATGAATGGACTTCATAACTCTCGATTGAACTATCGAAGTGTGGTAAATCAGTAATCTGTAGTATACTCATACTTTAAACCCTAAAGCTTTAAGAAAATCTTTATTTGATTTAGTCAATTTCTTCACGTTTTTCTTACGTCTGTGCACCTTAACGGTTGTTGACGAAATAGGACGTTTTATTTTCACTGGAGGGTTTTTATCATATACTATCATTTTGCTTTTCTTAAATGAAGACGTAATTGAATATGTTCTTCACCAAAATCAATACAGTAACCAAACTGATCGACAATTCTGACAGATATGGATGAAATTATATTTTTATTCACTGGGAAGTAAATAATGTTCTGGGGTATTTCTATGTAGCCATGACTTGAAGACAGTATCAGATATGAATTCGTGAATAAAATGAGTCGGTAATCCGTTGTAATATGAACCGTGCACAAGATCACATTCGATTCTGATTACAGCTGTTGAACTGCTGTTAATAGCGGACACATTCGGTCTT